TGCATTATTTTGAACGCGCTGGAAGACCGATTCGTTTGAGTACTGCTGTGTATTTATAACTCAGTGCGTTAGCACAACCGCACACTTCAAATGCATTATCGCGCAGTTCAAGACATGTCGTTCGCTGTAACATTTTCAGCCAAAATAAAACAACTGAGACAGTACCGTTGTATTCTGGAAAAGCGGTCTTCAAAGATCGTCCTTTTGCTATCTTCTCCAAAAAAACATCTTTTTTATTAAGGAATAATATAATGTTTGTTTCCAGGAAAAAGCGATTATTACATATTTGCTGAAACAATAACAGCGACTCCTGCAGACGATTCTGAAAGTGTGATTTCGAGCATGAGAATTTGGAAATCTTTCCTCCAACTCTGAATAATGCAGATTATTTGTAATAACTTAATGTGAGGATCTTATGAGGGCAGTGATAATAGTAGGGTATTTTTTTAAAAAAGTTGGCAAACGATTGGTTTTTTGTCGCCAACTGACTGTTTAACTGCATGCAAAACATTGCTGTGGCAACCATATTTCTCTTATCTTGCTGGTATTCCGAACTCATCAGTAACTGGAATCTGAGATGAAGAAAACCAGCGCTTCGGTGACCTGTCAAGAGGTGGGAGCGCGCCCAGCAGATACTAACTGAAGGCGTGCAGCTCAGGACAGAAGGCCTTGGCGGAGCTGAATCCATGTATCCCAGTTACAAAACTAAGATGGTTCTTAACATTAGTTGCTCGAGTAGTTTTACAGTTTTAGAGCACAGTTATAGTAGTATAGCAGCCCAATGTCAAAACTACTGCTGATACTGGCCAATGCTAGTGCCCAGTGCAGTTTTACGAACCGTAGTATTGTCCTCGCTTAGCACCTGATCATACTCACTAAGTGCGGCAACAAATATTACTGCTTTGGCATCGTCAAAGCAGTGGATCCATTTCTTCCTCTGCGAACGTTGTCCACCTACGTCAAATACCCTGAAATGTGAAGGATTATGGTAACGATTGCTCCTGTTTGAGTTCAGCAACGATTCTATGGATTATAACTCTTCAAAGCAAAATTACGCGCCTCCAAATCCTATTTTTCATGCGAAATGTCACTTCGATGACACCCATTGTAGGTATTCTGGTGTGCAGAATGTCTTGTACTGTAGGCACATAATTTTTGTCGTAGATTCGAACCAGAGAATCCAGAAAGCTGAAATTTTCTATTTTATCAATGGCGTTTTGGTTTCAAGAATTTTAGCGCTGCTCCGGAAAAAAAAATTTGTTGATACTTGATTAATTAAAAAATTATGTAGTTTTCAAGCATTTGCTGCAAATCCACATACTACTGAGCAGAATCATTGAGGTAATATTCATCTTTTCGTTTGAAAGCCTGTTGCACCCCGGAATCTGCCCATAATGCCTTTACAGCTGTATAAGCTTCTTCGGTGAGTGGGCCTAATTCCTCACTTTTTGCCAATATTCCCTGTATCAAGCGTGCGTGATCCTGAAATGGATAGGGAAGTTTCAGTTCAGTGAGGTCGTGAATGCATTCAATGATGTTTGCTTCAAGATTATTTCGTTAAACTTTTAACACTTTCTGGAATATGCTGTATAACTATCAATAATAGCATAAAGTAATTTCAAGCCTTCGAAATTCTCGAACTGTATTCTAAACGCATCCGTTAGCAGTGCACAGTTCACGACCCTCACATTTTTATATGGTTGTTGTGGAATAAGCAAACGACCTTTTTTCAGCGGAACTCATGGCATATCTACCAGGTTAGGTCAAATATATACATATACATATATACTATTGCTAAGTGCTTCCCCTTTCGTCCCGACTCTTGCCCCCAAATCGAAATTGAGATAACTTCAATACTGAATATTTTTTGCAAAAAAGTAAAGAAGCCTTTCGCATGCATTAAAATGTTTAGCACCGTTTTCCATTCGCTCTCGAAACATCAAAAAAAGAAAAAAAAGCAACAGTTCGGGCCCTTGGGAAACGTACTGAAAAAGTTGACAAGAGTCTTTTTCAATTTAATAAGAGTTTTAATAACAAAATTGCAGTCAAAAAAATAAATAGCTGCGCGCACCAGGGCAGCCGGTGCAATCATACATTTTGTGCAATTCCGTTCACTGAAAGATTGCCTGCTAATGATTTTTACTGTCCCGCCAAAACTTCTATGGGGCCGTAAGTGATACCTGAGAGCGTAAGAACGCTGAATTTGAATTTGCGAAGTCGTACGTTGATAGGGGGTTATTTCTGCAAAACTTGAGTTATCTGAATTCTGTGGTTCCCGAGATAATAATTTACCCGCCAAAAGTTTCACAGAGCCGTATATGCCACCCGCGGGCAAGGGAATGCTGAATTTAAATTTTCTAGGTTATGCGTGGGCAAGGAACATACCCACAAAATTTCAGCTTCCTGGATTCCGTGGTTTCCAAGATAAAAATTTATCGCCAAAACTTTCACTGGGCCGTAGGTGATACCCGAAAGCGCGGGAAAGCTGAATTTGAACGGGCAAGGTCGAGCGTGAGCAGGAGGTTATTACACTAAAATTTCAGCTTCGTACATTCAGTGGTTCCCGAGATAATAATTTATTCGTCAAAAATTTTCGCGGGCCGTACATGTTACCTGCAAGCAGGGGAAAGCTGAATATAAATTTTTCTGGGTAGCACACACGGTTGGGGGACATGCCCACAAAATTTCAGCCTTCTAGCTTCCGTGGTTCCCGTGATGATAATTTTACTCGCCCAAACTTTTACGGGGCCGTGCATGTTACCAGCGGGAACGGGGAGGCTGAATTTAAATTTGCGGGGTCGCGAGTAGGTGGGGAACGTTACCCTAAATTTTCAGTCTCCTAGCTTTTGTGTTCCCGAGTTGAAAGTTGTGGACAAGTTGCTTCGGACACACACACAGACAACCCCGTGACAACATGCGTTTTGTACTACTGCTGCACAGCACAAAATGCATAAAAAACAAAATGGAACGCACCCGGATTACCGGTGCGATCATGCGTTTTTGCACCAAATTTGAAGTAATCAGGTCGTTGCTAGCTGACTGAATGGTTTTTGCTTCACACCTGCGTTGTGCGCTCACTAACGTAAATCATCGTAAATTTTGCATAAACGAAAATGAACAATTTCGTTTAGCGATCGCCCTTGAAAATTACCTAGCTATCCAGTGAACAATTTTTCCGTCAAAACTTTTAAGTGTCCGTTCGAGAGAACCACGCATGCCTAGGGGCTGAATCTAAAATAGAAGAGTAGAAAAATTTCATTTGAGTGTCATGTGTATGAAAATATTTTATGACGCTGTCCGTATTTCATCCCTTAGCAGTATACACAGACCGAACAGTGCATGAAGGTAGGAGTGGAATTCATCAGTACAGCTTCCTACTGGCCATGTTTTGAATAGTCACGTATCTGATTCGCAATGACTGAAACAGCGAATAAAGTGAGAAAGGAAGGAAAGAAGGGAAGTTAAAGCGTGAAGGAGTAAACAGAAAGAAAGGAAAGCAGGGAACTGAAAACACGATACGGACAAACATTATATTTAATTGTTAGAAAGAGCCGTTTATGAGAAGAGACTGCTGACTAGGCATTTAATTTTTGAATCATCAGGGAAGATGAATTTGCTCAGTACTGATCGGTTTCTGAAACAAAGAACGGAACGTTCTAGTCTGGCAATATCAAACTCTTTTTGCTTATAGATATTTATAAACCGCTATCCCAGTTCTGGAATCCCTCTGGAAGAGTACATATACTCGCATAATGAAGAAGTTGCGAATTAATGACACCTTCTTGCACCACTTGGTCCATATCACTATCTGGATACGCTCCGTGGTTAATGGTAAATGGATAATTTAGGGTCTTTTTGTATACATTAAAAGTGCATCTGTCCTGTTGGCATGAAATTTCGAGGTCTAAAAAGCAAGCCCTTTGTCCGAAGTAGGTGGTGTTGAGTTGCAAGCTGGGCCCATAGATGTTGCTGGCGATTTCAGCAAAGCTGGCGCAGTTAACGATGAGGATGTCATCGATATATCGAAAGAGATGAAGATTTGTACGGCGATTCTTACGAAGAAACCGGTACTCCATGACTGATAATGTGAGATCGGCAAACTAGCATTACCTCCCATTGGTGCACCTTGTATCTGCTGGAAAACGTAGCCACTAAACCGTACGTATGTTTCTTGAAGAATGATTCGAAGCATCGCCTTCACTTGATTTTTTGCGCAAGATATGACGTCACCCGTGAATTCATTAGCATACCAACTATGGGTTTTACTTGCAACAATGTATTTTTTTCCAGCATTGGTGAAGCAGAGGTCAGTAATCTAGAATAGGTTATCAGTAATGTGAGAATGCGGTAGACTGGTGAAAAGGTTGCTGAAATCTAATGTATGTATATATTCGATCGTACTGCCTGGTGTGGAGAGCTTTTGAACCACAGTTAGTGAACTGGTAATGCTGAAGCGAACGCGTCGTCCATTGCGCACTAGTGTTTGCGTACAGTAATCACGAAAGTGAGTCTTAAAATGAAATAATATACGATGCAGAATAATTGAAGGACTTTGGAGGGATGATTTATTTGCTGCAGCGATGAATCTATATCCATACGGGTCTTCGTGGAGCTTAGGAATAGCGTAGAAGAAGGGGATTGATGTGTCACTATCAGTGGCATGTAGCTGAAAATTATCTAGAATTTTATGATGGTAGAGGATCAGTTGTTGGACGGGAAGCGATACTGATATATATACACTATTTCCTTGAATATGCTTGGGGGTGCTGAAGCCGAGCTCATTGCAGTGCAACAGAGCATAGTATTTTTTGCATATAACTATGTAGTTGTTTGGCGATTTGTCAACAGATGTTATTACAAATTGTTTCTGTATCTCATGTAAGGCTCTGTCAAAATCAACGTTGACTGGAGGAAAGGGATAGCAACGGTTAGCAGTTCGCCACCGTGCCACAGCTAATATCCTATTTTTGAAATTTTCATATTCAGGAATGGTGGTACCGGTGCGATTTGCCATACCAGAGATGAAAACATATAAGGCGTTGGAAATATCCGTTATAACTTTGTCTGCAGTTTTGATAACCGTAGGTCTGAATTTTGTTCCCTTCTTCATAACATCCCTTAGTTGCCGGCCGCGGATAATTTCTAAGTTACCTGCAACGACGTATCCAACAGGTTCATAAAGGAAAGCTGAAGGCTTAAATTGACAAAGTGAAGACTATAAATTGACAAGTTCCAATGATCCATCACTGAGTCGTCGAAGAAAAGAGGCTTAGTTCATAATGCGACAACTTATAGGATTCTGGTATACGAAAGAAAGAATGTACTGGAATAGACGTTTTGCTGTAGTATCGTAGAAAATGGGACGTAGTTTGAGATCGACGAAAGCATTTCCCAGATAAGGAATAGTGAAATAGAATGTGTCTTTACGATGTGCACGTGCGGGAACGGTTTTTAGTCAGAAAGGTAAGAAACCTTGTAGAATACAGGATTTTGCAAATGACAAAACATCAGTAGCAACGCGTTGCCGGAGCATTCTAAGAGTATTGTTACTAGAACAGTAGAGCCTACTAAGTAGAAGTCGAATATCCTGAGGGTATCAATGTCGAAAGTAAGCGCAAAATCAATAGTTTCTTGGTTAACAAGCTTATTATTTAGTCTGCGTTTTCCTTGCTTACGACGTTTTTGAGGTAACGGCGATTGGAAGTATGGGTTTTTCCCCACACTGAATAGAAGCAATCCATCTGATATGTTGCCGTGAGCCGTAATGCGATAATTAAGTCCAAAAGGATAGACCTTATTAAGGGTCTGTATCCAAAATGCTCCCGTTGAAATAAACTAGTTGTAGAACTGCCAACACATTCGACAATTTCAATGCCCATGGAGTCTGGTCCATGCCCCGGCAATTGGTAATGATTATAAAGGACAGTATTTGTTTTGCGGACAACATTGTATCTGTGCTCACTTGCACGAGCCTGTAGAGTTCGCTTGGTCTGGTCTACGTATTATATGCCGCAAACTCTGCATGTAAATACGTGTATTATACTAGTTTTTTTGCAAGTAAGTCGTTGGGATTGCATAGGGGGACAATACTGGAGCCGGTGACGGAGGACTGCACCAGCCCGTCAGAAAGAATCATACTGCACCATATACTGCTGCCGCAGGCATGGCATGTATTAGCGAATGTTATCAACAGTATCAGTAATACGGGTAATGCGACCATGTAAATCAGTGCGAAAAAGGTGCTTTATCGTGTGACCACCCAGTGGTTGAGCTAAAACATCTGTGGGCAGTCTGCCGGATGAAATAGTTTGATTATATGTGGTTTTAGTTTTTGCTAACCAAAGGAAGAAGGAATGCGCCCGGCCAAAGGCACAAACCCTTTTAGGAACCGTGCAGCTGAGCAGGACTGCCTATCGGGCTACGACCAATACCAAAATTACCCCTCCAAAGCCAGGCGGCGCCAGGGTTCCCTGTCTGGGGGCTTTTCAACCGGTGACCAGAAAACTTTTGAGCTGTATTTTAACAGGGAACATTCCTTTAAAATTTCACCTTTCCAGCTCCCCTGGTTCCCGAGTTAGTAATTTCCCCGCCAAAACTTTCACATGCCTGCACACAAGGACCATGAAAACGTGGGGGCTGAATTTGAAATCTTTAGCTCACATGCGCAAAGAGAATGTCCCTACAATCGCGAGATCGCTTCCCAGCCAGAAGATCTGCATACTTTTTATGCGTTTTTGCATATATGTAAATTGCAAAAACGCATATTGGGAAGAGGCTGTCTGT